CTCTCTCTCTCTCTCTCTCTTCTCTCTCTCTCTCTCTCTCCCCTCTCCCTCTCCCTCTTCACCCGTTCGCCATCACGATTCCTCCGCCGATCATTAGGCGACTAGCCAAGAGGGTGTCCAACGAATCGCCATCCCTCCGACGGGAGGACGTTCTCGATCCTCTCTCGGGCTTTCGTCCCGCTTACGGATGGGTGAATCGATCTCCCGTGACGAGGCGAATGTTGACGGCATCGTATAAATTAGACAGTTTTCTTGTTTTAACATTATACTTAAATATAATTTTTAGTTTTAATATTATACTTAAATTGAAACTGATCGTGATTGTCATCTCCATGATATTGTTGGTGCGTCATTAAATGAGCAAACTTTTTTTTAATAGCATGAGAAATTATTTATTATTTATTTATTAAATATTTATATTGAGAAATTGTTTATTCAATAATCTACGCGAAAAGGACGATATGTCGACAAATCTGATCCGTACAATGTCCAAGGGTTATGATCGCAGCCGACAATCACGGTTGATGCTGGCTGCAGCTGCTATGGCAAAAAATGAGCCGCGATTGTTTTATCGCCCCTCGGGCCGCCCGATGGTCAACCGGTCTTTCTCCTCTCATTATTATGATTACCCGATGGGCGATGGGTCGGGTACAATGAGGGGCGAGAGTAAAAGGATAAAAAAAACACGGATTCATCCCCTTGTCCGGAGTCAGCCGGTCCTATCTACCTATCTACCTAGCTACCTGGATCCTTTGTCGGCCATTGTCCTTCCTTATACCTGATGAAGTACGCGCGATAGAAGCGACGAAATCCAATTTTTTCCTTTTTATCGACCCTCCTGCGACCTACCCCTGTCTCGAGAGTGAAGTAGCCCATGCGATGCGCCACATGCCGTTGCCGTTGGCCGTTCGCGTATATGCAAATTTCGTCGGCGCATTGTGTCTGCGAGCTGCCCCTTACTCACCCCCTCTCACCGCGCCGTCCACAAAAGATCCAGGTCAAACTTTCATCCGGTTAAGAATTTTTATTTTTCGATCGAGCAAAACGACAAAGCGAGGAAAGGGGATGGAACGTGAGGTAAGAGAGACGGTATGCGACCGGTGCACCTTTCGTGGCGCGTAACGGTTGTAGTGTCGCCCTAAGACAATCGATACAATTACGAAGAGCGGAGACGTAGGTAGGAGGGTAGGGAGACGAAGGGATCGTCTGCGAGATCCCTCTTTTTCAACCGTGGCCACCCTTTCTCACCGCGGCTCCTTCCTTTTGAGACGCGTCTTCCTGCGGAAGAAACGCTCATCACGCGCGGTTGATGCTTCGGAGATGAAAAAGAAACGAGAGCTTCAAGAAAACGCACTAACGACATTTCGAAATTCGACGCCAGTTACACAAGAGCTTTTTACCCTACAATTATTTATTATATACATTTTTCTTGCATCTCTTATAAACTGTATTTTTATATTTTATATTTTATTAATATGTGGTGTGTTTCACATTAAAATGTTGACATGTAATTTCGTTGATAAAATCACAAAATACGATTTTCCATTTTACGTTATTGAATATTTTGTTTACGGACGCGAAAGTTTCGCCGGCAGAAAATACATTTGTGGTGAGGGTGAATTGAAAACGACGGCCCCAGTCCTCGGGAACAGATCGATCCCAGGTCCCCGCATCATATGCAACGAAATCATACCTCGACGCGTAGTCTGCAGGTCGTAATAAGATCCAGCCTCTCTATCGACGAAAGGCTCGCGCTAGGGAATGCCGCTGGAGAATTTCCAGAGGCGAGGCACGCCGACCTGGGGGCGGCCGAGCAACCCCCGTGGAAGCGCGATGGAGCGAGCTGCGGTCAGCGCTAGGATTCGAAATACGATGGTGTACGTACCCGGTTACGTCGCGTACGCAATGCCGCTGTGTTAACCTTATTGTCACGGTGGTACCGAAGCATGTAAAGCCGCACAGACGCCTCCAAATTGTTATTGCATGCGAGAGACGGAGACGGAGTAAACCGATCGACGTGCCAAGCAGGTCGGACCTCTCCAAAGATTAAAAGCCGTCCTTTCGATTATCCGAATAGTTAATTTGGCAAATTTTTATTTTCGGATTACGTAGAATAAATTCTTCATCTTTCATAAATTTCAAATATTTCAATATTATTAATCAAAAAAGATTATTATATTGAAACTTCAAGTTTTTAAGGGTTTCTAAAAATACAAAAAACGAAGCGTTCTCTTTGCTGGTGAAATTACAAATTTAAAATTATGTAAAATTGTGAAAGAAGAGAAAAGAAGATGATTCTTTTTGTGCTATCTTCTCAACTATCTTCTTCCTATAAAGTATCATGGATATGCTGTGGTCAGTGCCACGATTCGAAATACACGATGAACGTGAACTCCATTCTGGCGTGTATGCAACAACGGCGTGCTAACCTTACTGTCACGGCAGGGCCAAAGGGATGTAAAGCCACGATAACGCCTCCAAATCGTTATTGGGTAGCGACAGAGAAGCCACCCCTCATCGTTTACCAGCCGTTCTATGGCCCCTGGAATGGAGTGTTGGAGATACTGCGAAGGCTCCTACTTTAACTATCGTTAAATCACGTAAAACCTGTAATTGAATACTCAAGCACTGTCGTTAAACCCTTCCATACAGGACATCGTTGTAGATTTCTTTTCGCGAGGTGTTTACTGGTAACGAGATCGGTGAACGTAAATTAAGTAGCCCCGAAAATATGCGCATCGATCTCATACGAACGCCCAACTTGGTGCTGACTGTTCAGTTAACTTGCGACTAAACTCAAGAAGACGTCTTCCCCTTTAATAATAAGAAGTTTCTACAGCGGATTATCATCAGCCTATCACGGATATTTATCGCAAGTAATTATCAAGAATTCAGATTGTTTCTAAAGTTAAAAAATAGAAGTTTTAGAAGTGAAATGATCGCGGTTAATCTACCTCTATCAGAACTATCACCTCTTTGCAGAATTTATAAAGCTTCGTTATTGTCAAAAGAAAACTACTCTGTCTGCCGCCTAACTATTAGCTCTTGATAGAGAAAGAGAAAGGAGGGTCGAGGCAAAAATTAGGCGTTAGTTTCCGCGCCTAATTCCCACAACTAAATTATCTAAATCGCATTCGCACCCCCTGCCGACATGGGACGTGTCAACGCGATCGTTTTCGTAGCGGTCGGCGCCGCTGGCCATGAAAACTTATCCGGATTCGAGAGAGAAGCGGCGTTGGCCGGTTACCATCATTACAAACGGTCTGCGCGACGTACATGGCGTCATCCACCTGACGCCTCGGTGCGCCTATTCGCGCAGCGCCGCGCGCGCCGGGTTGGGCACGGCCGCGCGCAGAGCGCAGAGCGCACCAACGCACACACACACACACACACATAGGCAATGTGGAGCGCAGCGCATTGCACACAGCGCACATCACCCTGCTGGGCGCGAGCGGGGTGGTGCAAGGAAGACGGCGAAAGAGGAAAGCGCGCGTCCGAGTAACCGAGCGAACGCCGATTCGTGGTCCGAGCGGGCGGAAAGAGAAAGCGAGACGAAGCACAGCCGTGCGCGAGAGAAACGACAGAGAAGGCGAAAGAGAGGAGAGAG